AACAGTGATATCACAGTTGCATATCTTTATCTTTCTTATCCCTAAACTTCTAAGAACAAGTTTTCAGTCAATTTGTAGGGAATTTTGAAGCAAAAATGATATATAATGTCAGAGAAACAGTGTTGCAGAGAAGATGCCAAACAACCAGCTCCTGGATCTGCAGTAGTGAAATGAAAATCTGAAGTTAAATGAGTAAATAAAGCTTTTGGCTGCAAAGATTTTACCTGAAACCTGCTGCACTTACTGAGAGCAGTGTCTGCCTTGCTCTGCAGCTGGCATCACCACCACAAGCATTTCTAATTTAATGATAATGTTTCCCTTAGCACCAAGTCAATATTAATTAATTAAATTTGATGGCTTCACAGTAGTGAAGGAAAAAACAAAAAGAAATCCTACTTCAGGTAGAGGAAACATCAAAAAGTGTAAGAGACACTTTACATGATAATTTATCTTAAGACAGAGAGCAGTAGAAGCAAAAAGCAGAAGAAAGAGGGGGCCAGCTTTAAGTTTGTAGAAATACTAAAAGGAAAAAAAATCACTAGCTAGAAGCTGCTGTAATGTTGCACAATGTTTTGTTCCTAAAAACTTTACATGAAATCATTAAAAAGAAAAAAAAAAGGGTGCTGTAAATGAAATTGGGAAATTAGACACAATAAATTCTAGGATGGGTACATGCATACATGTTTTTTCTTGTACCTTAGATCTGTTCCCACTTAATTGGGATTATTTTACACAATTTATTTTAAAACATTCTCTTTTGGTTCCTCTCTACTATGAAGAAGTGAGTATGCAAATAGGTAAATATTTATAATATTGATTGAAATTTAGCAATTACAGGAAGCAAAGCATGCTCCATTTTTCCAGCAGCTCTGTGCTAGGGAATTAAAGATCTTGGCTTGCAAGTCTGGGCACAATTTCTGTATCCCTTGCTTGTCTCTCCTCTTGAAGTTCTTTTTGTGGATTTTAGGCCCAGCATCATGTAAAAATGAGAAATATCCCTCCCTTAAAAGGCCATAAAAGCAAATAGTGTCTCAGCTACAACATTAATCCTTAAGACAGGAAAGAGCATTTGCCAAAACTTTGATAAATAATCCTTTTTAAACGACTCCTGTCTTTATGTTGTGCTTGCTATTGAAGCTGTTTTGTGGGGAGCTGAATGTCCTGAGCAAGGTCCAAGGCAGCAGAAACTTTCTATGAAATCAAGAATATTTTGTAAGCTCAGCAAAGGAACAGTTAAAGAGTTTGACTGGCAGATAATTTGAAAAATACAAAATTAGCTCAGCTTTTGGCAGATTGCAAAACTCCTCTGTTCTTTTCATCAGGTACCATGAAAGAAACAGGAATCATGGCAAGGAGCAGAGAGGAGCAGAACACAGCTTTTTAAAACCATTTTTTGTGGACATGGATTAACAAATCTAGATTTTGAGGCAGAGCAGAGCGCAACATTTTTATTTTGAGTTTTTGTTGTATTAAGAATCCCATCTGTTTCTGGAGATCCTAATAAATACATTTGCAGCATTATCTGACAAGTGATAAACTTCTAAATTTCTTCAGTGCCAGGAGATCTGCACTACTTCTCTTGAGACCACCCTTTGCCTGTAAGACTTCAGTAGAGCTAGTTAAATTAAAGGCAAAATTAAATTAAATTAAATTGAAATTAAAGGTTAAATTAAATGAAATTTTGTAAAGGATTTTTAGAGGAGCCAGAATTCATTCCTATGTTGAATGACTGTAATGGAAATTTTTTTTTTCCTAAAGCATTCATTAAGTTATTACTATGTGGAATGGAGTCAGAGAAAGTTTTGAAGATATCTGAGTAAATTCTAATATTCAAGGTGTCCTATGTGATCCTGTCTAGTAATTAAAGTTCAGTCAGTTGCTATTTTTTTAGCGAATTCTGCTGAAACCACAGAGCAAATTGTGTTCTATTACACTTAGAACTAGAACAACACTGACTTGTTTCTGTCCAGTTTAAATTCTCTTTTCCTGGAAGCAAAAGAGCAGGAATTGTGAAGGAAGGAATTGCTGTGGTGGAGTGTCTCCCTCTATTGGTGCATTTTAAAATGCAATGTAACTGTGGCTCCCATTTCATTACACCAATTCCATTTTATTTCAATGAAAAAAAGTGAATTTACACTGTGAGAAGTGAATTTACACTGTGAAAAATGAATTTACACTGAGCAGTGAATTTACACTGTAAAAAATGATTTTATACTGTAAAAAGTGAATTTACACAGACCAGTGAATTTACTCTGTGAAAAGTGAATTTACACTGTGAAAAGTGAATTTATACCTAGCAGCTTGTCCTGAAATAAATGCCTGAGGGATGCAGGCTGTGTCTGCTGGTGAGAGCTGGGGTTCTGTGCTGGCCTCCTGTCAGCAGTGGGGAGAGAGAAAGAGACAGGGACTCGGTGTGGTTGGATTAATTCGGATAAATTAATCCAAATTTATTGTGGAGTACAATTAAATTTGGATTACTTCGGATAAGTTAATCCAAATTCATTGTGGAGTACAATTAAATTTGGATTAATTTGATAAGTTAATCCAAATTCATTGTGGAGTACAATTAAATTTGGATTAATTTGGATAAATTAATCCAATTCATTGTGGAGTACAATTAAATTTGGATTAATTTGGATAAGTTAATCCAAATTTATAGTGGAGTACAATTGTTATTTACTATTTTAAGGAGACCAGTAATGTTCTACTCCAATGACTGGGTTAAAGACTGCATTAACAGTCTTACACATTTTAAACATCTCTTGCTTGCAGAAGTCTGGTGTCATTTGCTTTTTCTGGTAAATTCCTTTGATTTGATCTTCTTGCAATCTTGATTTAGTTCTCAAAGTTCAGTTTTCACTTTCTCATCATCATATCAGTTTATATATGATAAGTATTCGTTATATATATAATATAAAAATAGAATATATACAATATAAATAATAGAATATATATATTATATACTATATGGACTATAATATATATACAGAATATCTATCTATTATAGAATATATAATAAATATAATATATAATAAATATAATAATTGTAACATAATATAACATTCATAACATAATACATAGAGTATATATTATAGAATATATAATATAGGATATATTATTACTTATAGTATGATTATAATTATATAGTATCTATTATAATTATACAATATATTATATTAAAATAATACTTAAATAATTATGTAATATAGAATATTATATTATATAATATATAAATAACCAAATATATAATCTATTACAATTATAATATATAATATTGATTATATATAAAACATATTTCATATATAAAAATAGATATACATATACCTACATGCATATATATATATATATAATATTCAGATATAAACTCCTTGGTTTATATGAAGCCAATAAAACCTTTTTGTTCCCTGAATTTTTGTGTAAGTGCGCTGGTCACAAGCACAATTTGCTTTGGCCTGCTGCTAATTCGTTTTAGCCTGCTGCCTTTGCATGAAATAGCAATTCAGGATTTTTCGAGGGATACTTTCTTTTCACGCCACGAGGTGGAGACATCTACCTGCAATTCCGGGTGAAGAAAAACCTCTACGTTGTGGCTGAGGTTTGAATAAAATGCTGTTTTCCTCTCCCTTCCCTCCACTTAGAAATAAATAAATAAAATAAATAAATAGCTAAAAATAGGCTAAAAGTATGAAGATGCTTTACCAAGCACCTCCATTGGTTTTTTTTTTCGTTTTCATAAGAAAAATTAAAAAGATAATTGATTTTCCATTGTCTCTTCCACAGGATTTGCTTCCCAACCCTCAGGCTGCAGCTGAGAGCTGGAGGATGCTTCCAGCAAGAAAACCCAGCCAGGAGCCCCTTGGTGTGAGAGAAGCCCACACCTGGGCACAGGGATAAATAAATAAATTAAGAAATAATAAATATATTAATTAAAAAATTCCAGCTGGAGCAATTCTTGTAGGAAAGGCCAGTGCTGAAGTGCAGAGCCAAAGCACACCAGGTCAGACACCCACCCTGCAGCTAAAGGCAAAGGAGGAGGGAAATCGTGGCTTCACACAGGAGTTATAAAAATGATTTTTAAATGTAAAGGATTTATAACATTTAAATTTTATAAATTTGTAAATTTAAAATATATACATTTATAAAAAATATACATTTAAAATATATAAATGTATAAATTTATTAACCAGGATTTTTATAATTCCAGGGTTTGATTCAAACTCAGCATTTATAAAAAGAGAATTTTGGAGACTTTTTTTTGCAATAAAACCAGAGCAATCTCAGGAGTGGGAGCACATTCAGGATCCCTGAGCCTTGTGGGCCTTTGGGGTGCAGGGACAAGGCTGTCCCCAGATTTGCTGGATTCATGTTCCCCTCTCCATGCCTGCAGTCCTTGCCTTGTGGCTCTCTCTTTATTTGGTTTTACTTCATGCTTATAACTTACACTATATATATATATACACACATACATACATTTATTTTATATATATATTTTTATATATATATATATATAAAAATATTACTCCTGTTAATATATATTATTACTCCTATTATAATATATATCTTATTACTCCTGTTTATATATATATATATAAATAAAAATATTACTCCTGTTAATATATATTATTACTCCTATTATAATATATATCTTATTACTCCTGTTTATATATATATATATAAATATAAATATAAATACTCCTGTTAATATTTATATTATAATCCTGTAAATATAAATATATTTTATACTCCTATTAATATATATATTATTATTACTCCTGTTTATATATATATTACACTCCTGTTAGTATATATATTTTTATATTCCTGCTAATATATATAATTACTCCTGTTTTTATGTATATTTTATACTCCTGCTAATAGATATATAAAATTACTCCTGTATATATTATTAATCCTCTCTCTATATATATTACTCACTCCTGTTCTTTGTTGCTCAAAGACAGTGAGGCAAACTTGACTCAGGATGCAACAGTTATGGAGAAAAAAAAATTATTTTCACATTTTCATGTCTTATTCTTCTTATTTCCATGCATGATAAAAAAAAAAGGTAAATAATATTTTTTTCTATTGGATATTTTATTTTTTAAAATGCCAAGCAGCTGGTTACCCCAAAAAGCAGCAGTTTCCTTTGGAATGGTCTCTGTGGTTGCCATGACAGTGACTGGCAGGATCACAGCACAAAGGTGAGGAGCCTGTAAGTTGAAGGAGGCCTCATGTAGGGTTTGATTGATAGAAAAAGTGATTTTTAGCTTGGTAAGAAAGAGTGTGAGCAGCTCCTGCACTCGCCCCTTGCTGGGTTCCCAGGGCCTTAAGCCCTCTAGCAAGTAAGGAAGTATTTGCCCAGGAGCTTGAGAACAGAAGCTGATCTAAAAACCCCCCAAGGAATTCTATTTATTTCTGAACAACTCAGAATTGGGGAAAAAAGAGAAAAAAAGAAAAGAAAATAAATATGAGAAAAAAAAGGGGAAAAATCCTAAAAATAAAAAGGTAAATAAAAATAAAAGGGGTAAAGAGGAGCTGCTGATTCCAAAGTCTGTGTTACACTGTGCCCAGCTGTAGGTCACTGACAGATTGAAACACCCTGACATTTGGGGTTTGGGTGGGATATTTGGGTATTTGGGGATTTGGATATTTGGGGATTTGGATATTTGGGGATTTGGATATTTGGATATTTGGATATTTGGGGATTTGGATATTTGGATATTTGGATATTTGGATATTTGGGGGTTTGGATATTTGGGGATTTGGATATTTGGATATTTGGATATTTGAGGATTTGGATATTTGGGCATTTGTCTCTTGGCCAGCCAGGCTGACTGGTTAACGTGACTCTGACTCCTTAGACAGAGCCCTGCCAGACCAGGTTGGTGCCACAATATTTCTCTCAGATTCTCACATGCTTCTTAGCCATGTTTTTTTAGGGAATCTTTAAGATACAAAGCTGCTGTAATTAATAAATCTTCAGCTCCCCATTAGTGGTAAAGATCAGGAGACTGGTAAGGTTCACTGGAAATGAAAATTTGTAAAATTTTTATTACTGTAATGTTCTAATTGTCAAATCTAATTGTCACATGTATCAACCACAAGTCAGGATGTGTTTGTAGGTCTAACAAGATATTCCCATTACCAACCAGTGAGTTCTTAGAAAGAGAAATAAGGGAAACCATGGAAGAAATACTTTTATGATGCTTTGTTTTGCTAGTGTTGTAAGAGTATCTCAGTTATGGAGTTCAGTAAAATGTGGAAAGAAAAGTGGGAGATATCCTGGTGGAACCCTGGATGCTGAGAATCTTAAACTTTCTGTGCTCGAAGGCACAGACCCACAGGAGAACACTGTATTTAACCTAAAGCTGTAGAACAAGCTTCCAAAATTAATTAAGAGTATCGAGATTATGAGTGTGTGGTTAGTTAGAAGTGTGTAATGTCAGAGAGTTGAAAACTTAAAGTTTGGGGTTCTAAAATATATAAATATATATAAAACAAGATGGAAGTTTTAAGGCAGAGACAAGTTGTTGCTCTTTACTTTCTTCTTCCTTCTTCTTCAGCTTTTTCTTCCTTCTTCTTCATAAGTTTAAATAGTGTTATGTAATTAGACAAAAAAGTCCATGTTATGAACTTCAAAAGATCAGTTATTGAGTTAAAAAGGGAAATAATCTAAGAGTCCTTTCTCAATTAGATAGTTTATTCTTAAAAGACCTTGTAAGAAAAGATAGTTAACCATTTTGTGCCTAACTAATAAAAAGCTACAAAACTCACAGTTATGAAACAGTTTCACTGATAAGAAATAATAAACACCTACTTGGCTCTCTCCTTTCAGGCACAATGGGATTTATGCTTGGGATTAAATACATCTTTGATAAACAGCTGGAGCCAAGTGTGGGAAATGAATTTGTAGAGGATTTTTCAAGTTTGATAGAAGGAGAAATAAAACTAAGAAAGATGTATTGTTGTAGGAGCCATGAGGGGCAATTTTAGATGATTGGCTTTAAGACATTTACAGCATGGTGTGGTGAAAGCTGATAGGCCAAGAAACACTTATAGTGTTTTGTAATTAGGAAATAATTACCTTCTGATTGTGATGATGTGAATTATAACATCTGTATTCTCCCACCCTTCACATGAGACTGAAAATGGAATAAAAGTTTTTAAAATACCTCTCAATCACCCCATCTCTGGGTCAGAAAAACGCTTAATCCAACAGCCAAGCTATCAGTATATTGTAATAATATTTCTTTTTATTTGGCAGCAATCAGAAACCCTGCTTTCTAGCCATAAATGACCCAAATAACAACATAAGATGGTTTTAACCTCTGAATGAGTGTGGTTTCATCAGTAAAGGTGAGGAACAGGGAATGCTAAAAGGATTTTTCACTCTTTCCACCATATAGGTGTCTATATGTTACACCTACAGCTGGAATGAGATATTCAGGAGCTCAGCACTCAACAGTGATAAATTGCATTATTAAATTGTCTGTTCTGCCACTAGAAGCCAGCAACAGGAGAAGACTTAAAGGCCTCAGATGCTCTGCTCAGTTCTGTGCTGGACTGTCAGTCCACTGCAAGTAGGAAATGGCCAAAATTAAACACAAACTGACATTAAATCCACACTTTTAGAATACTGTAGGCTAGGTCCAATTAGGAATTACCACTTATTTATTATGAACAAGTAGAATTCTAATTAGGCTGATTGGAGCCTCAGCTACTCCCTCAGATTGGATTGGCAATTAAGGTACTTCTTGTGCTAGTAATTATGGTTTACCATGAAATTACTCTCCCTTCTACCCCAAAAAAGCATCGAATTAGCCATGAGTGGAATTATATTTATCACAGGGCCCTGTGCAGTAGAGACTTTGCAAATAAATACAAACAATTAGAAAAACCACTCAGAGTGCTGTGCCAGCACAGTAATTAGGGTTTGAAGAGAGGAATTTTTGCTGAAGCCAAACTGGCTGGGTTGTCACTCAAGAGAACAGCCCTGAGGGTGTATCCCCAGCCTCTGGCTGTCCTGGTCCCCTCCCAGGAGAAAACCAGCAGGAGGAACAACGCAGAGAATGGAGTGTTCTACCAGCATGGTCCTGCAGCCACGAGCCAGCTTTGGGAGTTCACCAGTCTGGTGTTCCTGAGATGTCACAGTGACCCCAGTGGGTAACTGGAGGTGACCAAGCCAGACCAACCCAAGGCTGGTGCAGGGGATTTCAGCAAAAAGTGTCAACAAAAGGATAGCAAGCACAAGCTAAACCCGAATTCTTCCCTTGCCCAGAGAATTAGAAAGCAAATTTCTTTTCCTAATATTTGAATTCTAGTCCCTGTAGCTGCAGTTGTTATTGCAGTGACAATTTCAAAGTGTTATGCTTTTGTACAGGCTAATGAATAAATCAGCTTCTGACTTCTTTTCTCTCCCTTTCCTTGGCAAAATGCATTTGTCTCTGGCCTCTTAGCCAAAGTGGAGAATTCTGAGCCACAGAGCTTTGGACTTTCATAGAGGGAATATCCATCCCCTTCATTATCACATTAATTTTGTAAGGCCATCTATAAATCAGTTTTATGTATCATAAGTAGGGGATCATGGAGTAAATCCTAGTGTGAATAGATTTTTAAGGGCCACTTTGTTTAACTTTTAAGTTAGTATCTTTGCCTCACCCACTGTGCAGAAACAGTGAACATTTTACACTCCAATTTGTTTAGCCATCCAAATATGCATGAACATATTGAATTTCCTTTAGAACATGAAGAATTTTCCTAGTTTAAAGTGTTAAACTTCTTTTAACCATGGAAGCAAAGGAAAAAAAAAAGATTTGTAAGTTCTCATACCTTGACCAACTTTAGATCTGTGTCTGCAGGAGCAAGAATTGCCTCTCCCCACAGGAGCCAGTCCTAGGCCTTCAGCTTACTGAGAGCTTGGGATTTGGCATGAATTTTGATAGGTAAATGTATATTTTCCAATCTCCTAGGTTTCCAACAGAGTTAATTCTTCACAGGGTCTTTCTCTTATGGATTTTGCTCTCTGCTACTGTTTATTCTTAGGCAGTTGGCACACCTAAGGACTCCAGCTCAGTTTGGGAGGCAGATAATTCTGTGTTTGTCCAAAGCAGAGACATACAGACACTGCTGGAGTAAGAGATTGAGAATATTCCAGAAAGAATCCTTCCACAAACTGCCTCTCCTGCAATACCCACTGGCACAAAAAATCCCTTTTTCTCCTTTCTGTGTTACCTGCCACAGAGTTTTGCCTGGAAACCTCCTTCCATGGCTTATACCAGCAGGGTGTTCTTATTTGAGAGGCATTTGGTTCAATGGTTTGTGGAGTAAAAATCTATTACCAAATAGAAAGGGTAGAAGAAACTAAACTAATAGAGTCTTACAATAGAAATATTAATGTGTTTGTACCTGTAAAAACCACTTGTACTCCCATCTGTGCATGCCTTAGATTTCATCCAAGAGGAATAATTTCCCCTTTTCTAGAAAGCAGAGACAAACAGAAAATTCACTTTTGGTGCATCTTTCACGTGTAACCACCATTCAGGGATGAGTTATTAAATATATTGTTAGCTACTGTCTGCAGAATGAAGAAAAGGAGCTGGAAAATGAATTATATTACATATATGCTCCTCTGGTTGTTGTCATGATTTTTATCATTTGCCAAAGATTAGAAATTAATCATAAGGACTGATATTGCAATAACAGGATTATTTCTCACAGTAATCTCTGGGGTCTTTGTGTCTTGAGTACACATTCATAAATTTATTGAAGAGTCTAAAAACTCTGCACACAAATTGGTCTTCCTGTGCCTTAAAGCATTTAGTTTTCAGAATAAATAATAGGTTTGGAGAAAACACCCAAATCCTCCATTTGCTATCTCTAAAATGAACAGAAGAAAGATGGAATACAGGCAAAAGAAAGGTTTGCCTGTCCTCCTTATGTCTGCAATAGAGTCACTGTGTGTGGCAGGGAAAAAAGGAAAAAAAAAAGTAATGATTCTGTTCTTTCTGCTGTTGAAACATACTGAGGACAGCAAAATTTACTGAAATATTTTGGAAAAATAAATGTATTTCTTTGAAATGGAGGGTGGATTGTTCTCTATAAAGTAATGGGAAGTAATTTATTTTTCTTTTTCTTTTCTTAATAGCATACCTAAGTTCCAATCATGAGTCTAAGGCAATTCTTTTTTTCCATTTCACTTAGATGTGATTTTTGATCTTGAAAGGCCGAAATAATACAGTGAGGAATGCAATTCAGAGCTAGACTGTAGAAATTAGTAGATTCTGAATGTCATAATAAATAATTAAGTTACAATTATTAATATAAAGGGACATTGAAGGAAAATAGGCAGAGGATGTCCATGAAGTCCCTTCACCAGACTTATATAATGTATAATTCAAGATATATTGCCAAAAGAAGGCTGATAATCATTTGTCCACAGGTCTGTAAAGTATGACATGATCATTCTTCCTATTTCAGTAGGAACAATCTGCCATGCAGACAGCACAGAATAGAACATTTGTATCATAGTAACTCAAACTACCAATTTGACTTAGACAAATGAAAAAAAATAGGCTGCAGCCCACACACTGTGGCCTGGCACAGAGCAGCGTCCAAAGATGAATGCAGATGATGAGATTAATTTGTTGGGCCCTTACTTATCACCTAGAGGCTGAGGCTTCCTATATTCTGAGGTCATTTCCTGATGCATGCCCAAGGTGCTATTTCAGCTTGGCTCCAGCCAAACAGGGCAATTTAGTGCAGCCAGAAGGGGCCAGAGTTACCACATCTCCTGATTAAAATGCACTCACAGTTCAGCTCTTTGCCACCCGAGCCTTGGTTCTGCCATGGAAAGGTCTCTGTCCTTTGCTCCATCTCGTGCCTCTTGCTTTTTGTCCCTGGGACATTTTAGACCAGAGGATTTCACAAGCTCTGGTGCAGGATTTTCTTGTTTGCACTTATCTGTGTGCTGGTGTTTGAGCATGTCTTCTCTTCAGGAAATGTTGGTGTAGAGTTTGAAAGGGACATATTCCCCAGGAGCTCTCCTGCACATGGGGTCAGCCTGAGGGACAGAGCTGGGACACCCGAGGGGGTCACACTGCCTTGTGGATTCTTTTGCTTCTTTTCTTTTGCTTCTTTTCTCTGCCAAGGTCAGGATTAAATCATCAGAAGGTATTTCTTGTTGGGACTCAGATGTTTATTAGTTCTTACCCATGTTAAAGCCTCACAAACCCCGAGTTCTGCAGCACTTCACTCCAACAAACTAAAAGTGGAGCCTCATCTCTCTCTCTGCAAGGCCTTTTAAGGATTTACTGTCCAATTAAGAAATGATATCTAAATTATTTTTACTTTTAACCTAATAACCAACCACCCATGGCCTGCAATGTGGATTTTTTATCCATTTACACAAAACCACCCAAACCCATGGAGAAGAAGGAGAAGAAGATGAAGAAGAAGGGAAGAAGAAGGACCAGCATCTGCCCTAAAACCTCCATCTTGCTCTATATCTATTACTATATTCTAAACCCTTAAACTCTAAGTTTTCCACCCTGTGATGTTACACACTTCTATTTAAACTCCACACTCACAATCCCAGTTCTATTATTTAATTTTGGAAGCTCTTCCACAGCCTCAGGTCAATGCAGTGTTCTCTTGGGGGTCAGAGCCTGTCAGTACAGACAGTCCAAAACTCTCAGAAACCAGGGTTCCAGCACTGCCATATGCCACAGTTTTCTCAGCTGTTTTCCTGACGAAAACATGGCCTGAATCATCCTGGTGGCTTTAACAAATTCCTTTAAAATGATTCTTTAAAGGCAGCCAGCACCCTTTTTCTGCCTGGGGGGTTCTGGCAGTCCCTGCAGGAGTCCATCACTCCTGCTGCCCTTCAGCTCCATCAGAGGTGCTCCATCATTTATCCTGGACAGACACAGGGAGCTCTGTCTGCAATCACAACATGAAAATTTATCACAATTCAGTGTATTGCACACAGTAAATGTAGTTCAGTTTGGGGTTTTTTTAAGCTTAACAATTGTCTGTGGGGTTCTGCTTCCCTGTCTGCTGTCCCTGATGATAAAGTACATCTAATAAATTTTTTATTTTTATTTACAGAAATGCATTGTGTTTGGGGGGTGTGTCTATCACTCTGCCTCTCTCATTTCAGCTGGAATTGGTTGTTCCTGCAAATTGCTATTAAAAATCAAAGCATTCACAGAGAGAAAGTTTTTTAGGCCTGACAGTTGGGAACAAAATCTCCTACAGTACCCAGAGTGTTCCTATGTGCTGCATGTGATTCCAAAGAAAGATGAGCAATTTAATTAAATGAACTCATTAGTATTTAGCTTTGTGATATGAAAATAAGATATTGCTCTGATGACATTTAAAGTCAGTGAAAAAAGCTTATTTTGACACCATTATCTGACTGTGGTGTTTCTGCATTTCTTTGCTTATGGAAGAGTCTTCCTTGTGGTACATTTAAAATCTAGTGCTAAATGTTTTCTGGTGAACTCAATAAATCTAATATTTTTACATTTAAAATCTAGTGGTAAATTTTGGTGAACTCAATAAATCTAATGGTTTTATATTTAAAATCTAGTGCTAAATGTTTTCTGGTGAATTCAATAATCTAATAATCTAATGCCTTTACATTTAAAATCTAGTAGCAAATGTTTTCTGCAAATGAACTCAATAATTTAACTCTACCCAGCAATACTGGTTGATTATCCACAAGGCTTTCATGTATTTTTGTTTTACAGGACATAAATAAATGCCCAGTCCTGGGAGCAAGATAAGATGCAATTCTTTGAGCTGCAGAAAGGACAACACAAGTGAGTGACAGCAGCAAACCCGTGAGACTGGGGGAGAAAACTTTAATTTCTTTGTACAGCATGCACATGGAAGGGTCCTTCCCTCCTGTTTGGGTAATGATAAATGACAAGATGTGACAGTTATTAATTAAACTGCCTGCCATAGCAATGTACATGATGATAAGAGCTAAGAAATGTGCAGCATTCCTCCTACCCCATCATGAGAATGAGGCCCCTCCACTGTTCTCTGGCACAGCAGAGATTAGAATAAAGAATCAATATTCCACTACAAGCTGGCTACCTAGTAACTGCCTGAACCCAGGGCCCTAAAAATTGAAATTCTCCCTCGTGTGATGTGCAGTAATTAAACTTCAGCATTCTTTCTGCAGGAAATGTTTCTCCTGTGTTGTTCCCACAGATTGTGCTACAAGAACAATTTTAGCCCCATGAACTATTAACCAATTATTAAGGGATTTTCTCAGTCTGCTTTAACTGAGGATCAAAGACAAACCCCAATTTTTTTTCTTGCTAGGTATTGTAATTTAGGACACAAAACACCAAGCTTTGGTCAGGCCAACAAAATGGACTCAGTAACTCAGATCCATTTAAACTTTTCTGATTTCCCTTACCAATATTCCAACCTCTTTTCTTCCCTAACAACTCCATTGCCACACAATTCCAATGTATTTATCCTGTTCCATTTATTTCTTTCACATCTATATCCTTTATGTATGTGCTTCTTGGGACTAAGAATGTCTGTATACTGCCCAGTAACTCAGAGTGAAATTTTTGAAAATTAACTCATTTTAAATTGCTATCAGCTGCAGATATGAAGAATTCTTCTGTTATTACTGCTAAATATGTTTATTCTGGCTGATTAGGCTGGCTTTTTTTGGCCTTTCAGACACAGAAGATCTTTTTTTAAACTGCATAAGTGCAATCTGGGTGATTGTCCTTTAAATACTGTCTTAGGAGCTAGATATCAAAAATCAGTACAGCTCCACAGAAACCCATATCAATTGCAGCTATTTTTTGAGCATGATTTTCTTACTTACATTTTTGGGGGGTTTTTTTGGTAATTTTTAGAGTTTTCTGGACCAGCCTTTCACCAGACTTGTGTGTGAGCCAGGTCCAAAGAAGTTTTACCATAACTGTCATTTCCCCAAAGACCACCCATAAAAAACATTTGCATGAATACCCCTTGGCCTGTGTCATTCTATCTGCACTCTACACATATATTAGAATTTATATTTTCACTGTTTGCAGAGAAACACAAATAAATTCAAGATCCTTTGGCATGCCTATACATAACACATATTTCAAACTAATAGTGGTGTTTTTCAGTAAATACAGGCTGATGGCACTGCTGACCAAAGCAGAATTCCAGATTTGAGGGCTGTGTAGCTTAAAGGTAAATTGGATATGGGCTGGGTTTGTTGCTCACATGCAAGCTGCCAGCTCAGCCTGTGCTCCAAACCAGTTGCACACATCCAAAGGCCTCTTTAGGGTCCCAAACCCCAAAATAATAAAGAATCCTTACGGCTTAGACACAGCACTCCAAACAGAAGAAAGGGATCTGTCTGAGGGTGTGATGTTTGGATTCTGAAATTAGTTTTCCCACTAAAAATGTCCCATTCACTGACTCCTATCAGTGCACAATGCTCCATTGAATATTTGCATTTATTGACAATTTTATTTCCACAAAGTGATGTTTGCATTCTGAAATTATGCCAGTTTCCCCACTGAGGATGTCCTATTCACTGACTCCTATCAGTGGACTGTCACTCTCATATTTTCTGGGAAAATCCCCCTTGCCCAGGATTTCTCTCCTGGGAAGCTGAGAAGCTTCAGAGAAAAAAAGAAGACAGTATTATCTCATTTGCTTCTCCTGTGTTCTGCTGCTTTGAAATGTAGTTTGAAAATTGTTTATCCAACATGTGAATTGTTTTGACTTAGCCATTGATGGCCAAACTGTGTGAGACTCTAGAAGAGAGAGTCACGAGTTTTTGAGTAGTATCTTTTAGCCTTCTGTCTGTATCCTTTCTCTATTCTTCAGTACAGTTTTAGTATAGCATTCTTTAATATTATGTAGATTATAAAATAATAAAAATAAAAATAATAAATTAGCCCTCTGAGACGGGAGTCTCAGAAAATACCACAGTGGACAATTGAATACTTGCATTTGTTTAACACTTTTCATTCCACAAAGTGATGTTTGGATTCTGAAATTTTATGCCATTTTCCCACTCAGGTTGTCCTATTCACTGACTCCTATCAGTGGACAATGGTCCTTTTAATATTTGCATTTATTAATACTTTTATTTCCACAAAGTGCTGTTGTTCCACTGTAAGTGCAGATTCAATCCTTATGAGTGACTGTGAGTTCTCAGTGCCATATTAGAGATGTTACTGAAAAAAACCCAAAAAAACAGTTCTAGAGAAAAATATATTTACCAGTGGGCCCATTTTTTATTCCTGGGAGGACTCTGGACACTTCTGATTTAAAGATTAATTTATTTGGAAGTCCATATTAATTGGTGATCAGGCTTAAATACATATTTTCACTGGAAGTCTATGCCATTGTTTGTCCTCTTCCTCCCCTCAATAATTTCCTGATAGCACCACTTTTGTTTCTAGACATGCAGAAATTCAACATGAGTGAGAAGTTTCTGGTTTTGAGCGCTACCCTTAATCTGAAGAACAATTTTAGAAGAAAACTATCACTTTTAAAACTAACTTCTCCTGCTAATTTGACATGGGGAAAAAAATAAGGCCCTGCAAATAGCAAAGCTCTCCAAATGGGGAAGTAATTACCTTAAATTAAACCTTATTTCTGGTTATAAAAAAACCCCAACAAAACAACAAACCAACAACCACCCAATTCTAAAAGCATGTTGGGCAGGCTGGAAGCATTAGAGTTAAATACTGGCCAGTTTATAGTGAAAGGGAAGGAAACAGACAGGAGGAAGGAAGGAAGAAGAGATTAGAGAAATTGAGAGATGGAAATAGTCTCAGAGGAGCCACCGTGTCCCAAAACCTCTCCTAAGGGAAGTTTTTACACCAAAGAATCTGGAGGTCTGAATGAAGAATGACATCACTTATTTATTTAGCCAGAGCTGAGCTATTTTCTTAATTGAAATAACCTCATGCTGCAAGCATTAAATTGTTGGGGGAGTGATAATGATTCTGTTTAATTTAGGGACTTGATAACCATGAAATAAATACCCTGTTGTTGCTTGGTTTGAGAGTATATTTAATTTACCTGGAAAGCCATGAACTAGAAAGCTTGAGCCTCAGGGTTAATGCTCCAAACAGCCTGAGCAGGAGTCCTCAGTGGCTTTGGATTTTTGGCTCACTCAAGGATTTGGGACTCAAAACTCAGTCAAGGACTTGGGGCTACTTTGAGATGAAAATGATGGTGTTACCCTTTGAGATGCAAATTATTATATTACCCATTGAGATGAAAGTTATTATATTACCCTTCTGGACACCAAGAACAGAGCAATGTGTTCTTTCTTCATCAGAAAATTCACAATTTCCATCTGAAGCTGAGTTCCCAAGTGGCACGACAGGCCCACTGGAATCAGCTGTAATCCAAGTGGCCAATATGGGGCAAAAATAAAAAAAATATTCACATCACACACTCACCTGGGAGGGCTAAAATGGATGTTTATGGCTTCAGGAGAACTTGGAGCAGATTTCCTACACCTAAATGGGGTCCAGAGGAAACATGGACAGGGCTCTGCACCAGGGAACCAGGGGCAATGGTTTTAAACTGGAAGAGGGTCAGATTTTAGGAAGAAATTCTTTACTGTGAGGGTGGTGAGGCACTTGTGCAGGTGTGGCTGCCCCATCCCTGAAGTGTTCAGTTTATCTGCACACTGTGATGTGCTAAAGGTGAGGTGTTTTAAAGGTTCTCTTTCTATTTGTTTTATACTTTTACTTCATAATTAACAGGGCCTGTGCTGATGAGTTTTACCTCTATTCATGTTTTACTGATTAGTTTTTTTACTCTCTTTTTACAGTAAGAACTTGCTCTTACAGAAGAACAGTGAAAGCTTTTAGGACTGAAAGAAATAACCAGTTCAGCAGCATCAGAAATGCCTAACAGAGAGAGAAAAATCAGCAATAATTTCTCCCTTTGGTCTTGAGACACACTGTGTTTGTTCTACTCTACCCAGGTTAAAATTAATTTTGGTGAATAATATAAAAAAATACAGCAAAGCCCAATATTCCCAATGCAATGAAATGGCAACAAGGCATCATGAGCCTTGTCCAGGAACTCTGCTGCTTGACTCTCCAACATTCAGTGATAAAAACTGTTTGCACAGTTCTGGGAAAAAAATGTCAATCCCTTGAAAAAACTTGGGGTTGAATTTTCCTTTGGTGGCTCTAGGAGTGCAGGGAGCAGCTGCAATATTTTGTGCAACTAAATGACAGTGGCTGCCTGTGCTGCAAGTTCTGCAGTTTGTGCTGCCTTGATTTTAAATGCTGAGTTATTTTAGAAGTGGATTTCCATGAGTGGCCTGTCAAGGGGAGTTCCAGTTTATCAAATTTCAGGTTCACAGCATGTTCAATCCAAACTCCAGCTCCATATAAATATGTTTTATGGTAGTTGAAGTCTTTTGAGGCTGTTTATTATAGAAAAGTTCTTCTGTGTGCCCATATGCTGCACTAATTTGAGTGAAACAAACTAATTATAAGTTGATGTCATATGGCTAAAAAAATACATGTTTATGCCTTGTGTGTTTCACAGTGCTGACTTTCTCAACCACACTTGCAGAACACACATGGGATGTGTTCTCTGGGCCTGGCACCTCACTGGGTAAAGTTATGCTCTTTATTTTTCAATTTCTAATTAAAAAGATGAACCTTGTGCAAAATCTTTGGGGCCTTGTGAACACCAGCAGGATCTTTCTTCTGCTGGTAGGTTTATTTTTTTTTTGTTGTTTGTTTGGGTTTTTTTTTTGCTTTTTTTTTTAATTACAGCAGAATTCTACTTTTGCCAGAAAAAGAAATGGAGTGAGCACAGTGACTATTTTAAGCCAGTGAGTGTATTGTAGAGAATGTGCCACAGTCTACACAAATTGTTGGGAATAAAAATGGGTGGAAAAGGAGATTTGGAGGAATCATGGATTCTGTCTGAAAAAGTGCCTTGATTTCTTTTCTGAGGACTGCCCATTATGGCTTTTCCCAGTTCTGGCAGGCAGCTGGGTAACAGCAGTGACCAGTTACTGCTGATACCTCAGCAGCACCTAAACAATGCACAATTGTGCTGTTTTATTGCAAAAATTATAATGAAGACATTCATTTTCGTTTGAAGAATTTACAATTCCAAAGAAAAATTATCTAATTTAATGATCTAATCTAATCTGCTTTTGTAGAAGGAGCACACAGCAGGTCACTGCCCATTCTTTGAAAGGAGCTGAAATTTATAATTTTGTGTAAAAAGAAACTCAAATTTCCTGCAGACTCTTTCTCAAACCCACAGTTAGGGATGCTGTCTCCTCTGAGATTATGCACACCAATATTAGAGGTTTAAAAATAGAGGGTGATTGCAAAAATAAAAAAATAAATGTATAAATAATCCCAAATTCTCTGTCTGGAAAGAACCCACATGGATGTGGTGGTGGAGGAGAATGTGGCAGTCCACCTCTGAAACATCCTATATTTTGATTTTTCCAGCTGTTAGCAAACCACTATTTCCTGTTCCTCTCCTGATAACATAAATTGCAAAAGTGCTGGTCGGAGGTGATGTTTCAGGAGAAAGATGACAGAAGATCAGTCACGTCTGCAGGCTGCTCCTCTCACCCACCTTTACCCTGTGCTAAAACCAGGGAAAAGTCACTGCAAACAGGGTGGGTGTTGGGAGGAAACACAGCCTAAAAGGACTCTTCACCCTCTGGGATTCTTGTGAAAGCTTTTATGGCTTGCAAAGAATGAATCCTGACATTGTGAGCCAGAAAAATGCAAGGTTCTGAGTGCAGTTTGACAGCAGGAAACACTGACACTTTTGGTAGACAAGAACTGTATGGGACAATATATTTTTTGGGGTAGGAGGACCTCTTCTGGGTGAAATATTTGGGACAAAGACATTCCTGGTTCTCCTGAAGCAGGCCTGATGCTTCTGGATTGCCTGAAACCCAGGATGGAGTCTGAGATGAAGTGCAGCAAGTCTCTCTCACTGGCTAATCACAACCAATATTTAAAAACCAATATTTCATTGACTTTAGATGCTTGAGAGACTGTGGAACAGCTTTCCAGAGAGCTGAACTGCTTTTCTCACTTCAGCACTGCTGGCAGTGCTCACAAAGAATTCTGAAAATTAAGGCTCAAGTGTCAAATTCATGAAGGCAAAGATAAATTTGGAAAATGTTGTTGGAGCTGTGGCAATGGTTTAATTTGGGGTTTTATGTGATTTTTTTATGGTTGACTTTGGGTTTTTATGCAAGGCCTTATTTTTTTCCCCTAGACAAATTAGCAGGAGAAGTTACTTTTAAAAGTGATAGTTTTCTCCTAAAACTGTTCTTTATGTATCAAGCCATAGTAAGGAAAGGACATCTTGGATATACTGGTTTGTCTTGAAAAAACTGCTCATCTTTACACCTGCATTGAAAGAGCTGCCTGCTATGTGCAGCCCCAGCTCGGTTTTCTCTGACTTTATTGGAAAATGTTTCTTAAAGACTAAATGAAAACAAGCATAGCTCTACAATAGCAAAGTGTAAAACATTTTAACTGTTGCTTGGCAGCATTTGCAAGGGCACTCCACGCTGGTTTTCTTTTTTTTTTTTTTTTCAATGAAAGAAATCTGAACATAGCTCTACAATAGCAAAGTGTAAAACATTTTAACTGTTGCTTGGCAGCATTTGCAAGGGCACTCCACGCTGGTTTTTTTTTTTTTTTTCCAATGAAAGAAATCTGAGGCAATCAGATTTCAACCAAGATCTCTTGAGTGACAGTTCCCAGATTTATTGTTTTCTCTGGTGGCTTTATCCAGTTGTGAACACACAAATCAGGGAATGACTGGGGGAAGCAGAAATGAGAATACAGAAACAATTCTGAGCTACTCTTCTGCCCAGCAAGAACTTTTCCATGAGAAACATCCTGTACCAGAGCAAGGAGCTCCAGGATGGAGTTTCTTTAGGGATGTGGAGGTTGGTAGAATTAAGGATCTCAATTTTAATCCCAGAAACTGGACTTGACACCCTGACTGTTCTGTAAATCCCTGGCTTTGCAGGAAATCAGCTTTATACTGTAGCTGAAAATCAATGAGTCTTTCTAGAATTAATCATTGTTTCTACTTTATTAAAAATGTATTTAAAATTAAAAATAACAGACTAATATTTTTAAAGCAGTATTACTTCTCATTCTCTACAAGTTGAAACATTGCATAAATAATTTTCTGGAAAAAAATAAATACGTAATTCACTCTCTGAAATGACACCTTTTCTCTCTAGGTTCTGATCCCACATAAAATAACTGAAAAATCTATCAACATTTCACATTTCCACAGTTTATATTATTCCAGCATAAATTCTACAGGATGTATACAGTATGTGACAATTCACTTTCTAACAATATCCTTTAATGTAAAAACACAACCATTAGTCTGAGTGTTGAGAAGCTAAGTAAAGGAAAGTTGCTGCCAAACTAAAGACTTATCAAAGCTGCACGTCCTAAAGACTTTTCTAGAGGAATCCATGACTTAGCAGAGGCTCACTTTTAATGCAGAACCAGCACCTTACTCCCAGAGCTTGGTTTGCACAGTCTTAGTGCTACAGAGTGTGTGGCCAGAGACTCCAAACTCTACAGAACAGAAAATGTAAATGGATGTATCTAAGCTGATATTAAAGTCAAACGTGTTCTACAAATAAGGAATAATCAGTATATTCTATGTACTCTATGTTAAATAATGTTAGCTGTTTGCAGGACAAACATCAGTGAGGTTATCTGGTTTGAGAGGAGCATCTTCTTCATAAATCTGCTCCACTTAGGAGAATTTGTTGAATTGTCCCTAAAGCAAATCATTGTTCCTAAATCAACATGATTTTAGTCACCAAATCTCAGTTTTAAATTTGTCCACCCCATAATCTTTTAATTAAAAGTTTTAAATGGATTTGTCACACTTTTACTTCTATGAGTGTCACATTTTGATTTGAGAGGAAACACTGGTGCATGAGGACATCTGATCATGTGTTCATTTCCCAACAATTTGACTTCATCCACCAGAACTTGAAATCCCTGCTGCCCCAAACTTTCTAAGGCTCCTTCAGAGACTGTCCTGGTGCTTCCCTAATTGCACCCCTGTCCTGCATCCTTGTCTGGGGAAGGGACCTCAGGATTCTTTTCCCATAAATGAGTGGAATAAAGCAAAGTGTGATTGTCCCCACAACAGCTTCACTTTGCCTCCCTGCTCGTCCAGGACACACAAACTGCCATGGACCTCAAGGGGTGCCTGTCACCCTGATTTCGTAAGATTTTCTAAGTCTTCTGTTGTTTACATTCTTGTAATGAACTTTTTCACACACTTTCTGTAAATAACTCATTGCTTTGCATTCTTTTATGGAGGAGGAGAAATGTGATGGACTGTTGGTTTGTCCAGTGTCATTGGAGAGGTGGCACTGTCACCCTCCAATCCACTGCCACTTTTGGAAATCTATAAATGCTGGAATCAGGAATGAAAAATTCTCTTTTTGCCTTGAGAGAGCCGCGTGTCCCTGTCATGTTTTTCCGTGCCCTACAGTGACAGGTGCCTCCAGCCGCCTTTACCCCATTCTCTCACCACACCGCAAGTGCTACAACCTGACCGATTTTTTGCCTATGTGAGCCTTTGACCCAGCTTAGCAGAAGGAATTGGAACCTACTGCAGTCAGAACATCACGCTGTGACCTCTGAGTGCCTTTTGATGGTTTAACAAACATCCGCAGCGCCAGTCCGTCCCACCCAGAGCCGCCTCCTTCCTAATACGCATTTTCCAGCTCGTGCTGGTTGGATTTACCGCTCCTGGCTCTGGCCAGGTGCGGCTTCTTGTTCTTCTGGGGCCGGGCGCTGTCCTTGCCGAAGTCCTTGAGCTCGGACTGGTTGTGGTAGCGAGTGTAGCGCTTGCACTTGCAGGAGGTGGCCGCTCGGAATTTGTAAGTCCGCGTTTCCTGCTGGGGACAGGCCATGAGGACGCGCTGGGTGCGGCTGTGCGCGGGGATGCAGCGGAAATCCAGCGCGTTCTGCCGCCACCACTTGCCGCGGCCGATGGAGTTGGGCAGGAGGTGCGAGGGCTCGCACTGGCCCGAGCACAGCAGCTCCTTCACCGGCTTCAGGCTGCGGCACGGCCCGTCCGTCAGGAACCGCGTGGTGCGCACCTCCCGGCAGCTGAAGGCGGCATCTGCGAACAGGGAGCGCGTTAGTGCTGCTCTTCCTTCCTCTAATCCGTCATTCCTGTACTCCTTCATCCCTGCTCTTCCCTTCAGTGCTGCTCTTCCTTCCTCTAATCCGTCATTCCTGTACTCCTTCATCCCTGCTCTTCCCTTCAGTGCTGCTCTTCCCTTCCTCTAATCCGTCATTCCTGTACTCCTTCATCCCTGCTCTTCCCTTCAGTGCTGCTCTTCCCTTCCTCTAATCCTTTGTTCCTGTAATCCCTCATTCCTGCTCTTCCCTTCAGTGCTGCTCTTTCAGTGCTGCACTTCCCTTCCTGTAATCCTTCATTTCTGTACTCCTTCATTCCTGCTCTTCCCTTAAATCCTGTTCTTTCATTCCTGCTCTTCCCTTCAGTGCTGCTCTTCCCTTCCTCTAATCCTTCACTCCTGTACTCCTTCATCCCTGCTCTTCCCTTCCTCTAATCCTTCATTCCCGCACTCCTTCATCCCTGCTCGTCCCTTCAGTGCTGCTCTTCCCTTCAGTGCTGCTCTTCCCTTCATTGCTGCTCTTCCCTTCCTGTAATCCTTCATTCCTGCTCTTCCCTTAAATCCTGTTCTTTCATTCCTGCTCATCCTTCAGTCCTGCTCTTTCCTTCATTCCTGTTCTTCTCTTCAGTCCTGTTCTTTCATTCCTGCTCTTCCCTTCATTGCTGCTCTTTCAGTCCTGCTCTTCCCTTCATTCCTGTTCTTTCATTCCCATTCTTTCCTTAAATCCTGCTCTTTCCTTCCTGCTCTTCCCTTCAGTCCTGCTCATCCCTTCCTGTTTTTTCCTTCCTGTAATCCTTCATTCCTGCTCTTCACTTCAGTTCTACTCTTTCCTTCATTCCTGTTCTTTCCTTAAATCCATTTCTTTCAGTCCTGCTCTGCCCTTCCTGTAATCCTTCAGTCCAGCTCTTCCCTTCATTCCTGCTCTTTCATTTTACATCCTGCAAAATCCTGTTCTTTCATTCTTGTAATCCTTCATTCCTGCTCTTCCCTTGAATCCTGCTTTTCCTTCACTCTGGGCTCTTTCTCTGCCAGCTTTGAGGAAGCACCCAAACCCTGACCCTTACCCTAACCCCCCATGCCCTGGCTGCCTGAGCTGCCAGTGGGAAGGAGCAACAATTTCGGGGAATAAAGGTGTTTTTAAGGGTTTATTTTGCTTCTCATTATCCTCCTCTGATTCTGTTAATAAAGTCATTTTGTGCCTCTAAGCCGAGCCTGTTTTGCCCTTGGAGCGTTTTTCTCCTGGTCCTTATCTCAAACCTCCAAACCTCCAGCTCAGTTTCTCTCACTCTCTTATCAAGTGCTATAATCTGTCAGCTTTTTTTGTTCATTTTTCTCTCCTCTGCCCAGCTGTGGCAGGGGAGGGTGGGTGAGTGGCTTTTGTGGGTGCCTGGTGTTGGGCCAGTGTCAAACCACAACAGCTCCTCAGCAGATCTCTCTCTGAGCTAGACACAAACTGAATGTCTTGAACAGCAGATTTGCAGGGGAAATACCTCAAAAAGCTCACTCATGCAGCTACTGACTATTGAGCTACTCCAGCTCTGAAACCCTTCAATAACAATGTAAAAATTGGTGAATAAAATCCACCAGGTACATTTAATGTCAGTGCTGTGCAGGGGGAAATGGAGCAGCTGGGAATTTTTGGCAGTATTCTCCTGGCTCCATTTACCTCCACTGCTCTAGTTTAACTCTATTGACTTTAGATGTTGACTCCAGATTTAAATTCTTTTGCAACAACAACAACAAAGTGTTCCTTAAGTGATTTTTAGCTTGCACGATGTGTTCCAGGTTAGAGAAATCACAGGTAACAACAGCACTAATGAATTCCCTCTCTTCAGGCAGCAGCTTTTCCAATTTTCCTACTCTGTGGTAATTCCACGTGTCCCACAAAACTCCCCTGAGAGAGCTAGAGGCATCTTGTGGCTATTAGGAACCTTACAGATGTTTTCCTCTCCTTTTTCTCAATGGATAACTATAGGCAAATGAAGCATTAGAAAAGTCAAGATTTCTTAGCATTAAGCATTTAGAAACTTTCTAGCTGCAGGAACATAACTTTTCCAAAAGAGGCTCTTTTCCCTTGACTAATTGACTTGTTGGGAGGACACAAAATTTGCTTTTTAAGTGTTTATCAAATAACTTCATCAGAAATTATTAATTTACATTAGTTATTAATCTACATTAATGTTCTTCTGTTAGTCAAAAGGACAGATTTAACTCAGGAACACTTTGTGGTGGAACCTTCAAAGGTCAGCTCAGAGAAGGCTGTGTCTGTTCTCCTCACTGTGTACAAGGTTTAGTTCAGCAAAAAGGAATTCTGACCCTGAATCATTAATGACACAACAGTATTTGTACAGACATTTTCATTTTTGGTTTTCCTGTGAAGTACAGAAACAGGATTTTCAGTGCTCAGATTTACATTTGTCAAAGTACAGCTAGCAAGATTTCATTTTTTAAAATTTTGCAGGACTGCATTAATGGAATTGAGCAAACCTTGCCAGCTGTGACAAAAATACTGGCACCTGAACTCCACATGCACTTCAGTCTCACACTCCCAGGTTTCCTAAGCAGCTAAGAAAATTCTGCCTGTAAATTAAAAAATGTGTTGATTAAGGTGCATTGTATGCACAGGCAGTTAAATATCCAGGCACTTGCCTCAGCTCTATAGATATTATCTGTATTTATGTCCTGTCCTGTGAATGTGCAGGTACAAAATCTCTGCTGGTCTGGTGCAAATGTCCCAGAAAGGTTTGGCCATTTTGCATCATAATTTTGATTCTTTATGTTAAAAATACAAGACCATTATCTTAAACAACTGCCCACTCTCCTTCAATCTTTGATTTCTTAACTTTCTGTGCTTTCCACTTTGAAAAATATGCACAAATCAGTGGGGCAGGGTCCCAGCTGATGGCAGGGAGTAAGAGGCTAAAAAATGAAAGTATTGAGAAAAAACCCAACCTGCTCTGACCTGGAGGTTGGTGGGGCTGCCTGGGAGGAACTGAGTGCTCCCCCACTTAGGAATATGAGAAACTTTTAAGGTCGCACTCTCAAAAGCATTACTTTTAAAAATTTCTTTTACAATCTTGTTAACCCTCTGGTTTTAAATGCCTTAAAGACAGCTGCAGCAGAAATTCACAATTGCCTTGCAGCTGTCCCCAGAAGAAGGAGGCTGGCTAAGATCTGCAAGGCACAAAGTGGAAATTCTAAGTTTGATCTGTGCCTGTGCTGCTCTGTGCTTTGTTCTGTGTGTCTGGAGCACCAAGCTTGCCCTATTTTCCAGTGGAAAACTTTTTTAAAGCTACTTTTCTCTGTTTGGGGTTAGCTTGCCCTCTTCTGTCTCTCCTCAAAGGGTTGGTGTCCTGCATCACTGCCAAAGCTGGACACTTGGTCAAATGACAATGGATCTTGAAGCATTTTTGGCTGCTGGAACTGGTTGAAGATCTGTCAGTGAGCAGCACACTTCTCTCATTTAGCTGAACACAACCTCAGTGTGCCACGTTTGGTGTGTGATCTGTCACAGCTGGTGGATGTTCCTAAATATTACAAATTTATATTATTGTCTCCACTGTCAACCCATTCCCCCATCCTAATATAAAAGAGGGAAAAAGAACTTCTGATATTTCCTCACAAAACACAGAGAAGTGTTAAGCAATATCTACTACAGGTTTTATGTTTTGGAGCTGTCTGCAGAGTAGCAATATTCAACAGAGAGCTGATATTTGCCTCAGTAAACTCCAATATATTCTTTCTAATGTTTACATCCATACTTCTTCAACAGCAGATGTAAATCCCTATCACTCAAAGCAGCTGGGCCACACCTAAATTGTTAATAAACAAACATAGATGGTGACAGTATTCTTTTGCAAAGTGTCTGTTAAGATCCAAACAGTAAAAATGATATTTTTCTTACCGCTGAGGTCTGGAGTTTGCTGTATGTGTCTTCCTCCATGTTTTGCCTGATTCATGGTGTTGTTGTTGCTGAAAGTCGGCTCCATTGGCGTTTCTGGATTTTCAGTGATCTCAGGAATGATTTCTGTAGCATCATTTTTAAACATCTGCCAGCCTTGCACAGAGTGAAGTGTGATTTGTGTCAGGACACAGACAGCACACACAGCCCAAGGGATCTGCATGGTCACAGATCAGCTTTTCAGCACCCTGACAGCCTCAGATCCTGGGCAAAGGCACATTATTCCCCTTTTTAAAATCCCTTTTAGAACCAAGCCAGCCAATGACTATACAAAGTGGGAAGGGCCAGACAACTCATTCATCTCAGCTTTTGTCAGTGTGAAATAAAATGGGTGTGTGGGGGTGGGTTAGTGACAATATTTTACAACTGTTATGCAAAAACTTCTCTTAACTACCTCATTTCTGAGCCTGGCAACAAAAGGTGACAGACAAGACGACAATGAATTGCAACCTGACAAGATTTTCTGCAGTTTTTCTCTAACAATGGTGCAATTAAAACCTGCTTCTGCCTCCATCCATATTTGAAATTTTGGCTATTGTCTTTTCCAAAGTTTTTTTCAGAATTTTACATTTTGCTGTTGTTGTTCCTCTTCCCATTGCTCGCTGTATAAAGTGAGGAAATCTAGAAACTGTAGCTCAGTAATTCTGCTTTTCAGTCTGTGCTGGAAATTATTAGGGGTAGGGTAGATTTTTTTTTCTCACCTTTCCAAAACAAGGAGCTCGACATTTTGTTTCACAAATACACTGGAAGAAACAGGGAAGAGCTTCATTTCAATATGAGAAGTTGTTATGTTTACTTTTCCTTAAAAATAGTTTGCTTGGAATTTTTTTTAGCTTAAACAGCCACAATTTTGTACATCATAATTTTTGATGTGCTCTTTCTCACATTTTTAACTCTTGGGAAAAAACACCTAACACATGTTGGCATTTGCTTTATGTTCATTACACACTACTACTTGTGAGATATGTTGAATACAGGACATTTGCTTGTTTTAAACACAAGAACTTGGCCAGACTGATTTCCAGCCATGATATAACCAACAAAAAGAGAAAAATCATCATTTTAGGTCTAGGGCATTTATGCTTAAGATGCATTCATGTATCATGTTTCAAAATCTCCAATGTGGTATTATTTTTCCTTGCAAAAACAAGATGATAGTGGTGAAAATATGATAATTTTAGTGTCTCAAGACCACATATACTTTCAAATGATTTGCTAAATACATTAATCAGAAAGCCTTTAGGAAGGGTAAGATACCACACTGAGCTTGTCACAGCTCCTGAAAACAAAATCTTTGCTTGAAGCAGTACAGGGACACGTGTGTGCTCCTGCCATGCTTGTCAGGAATCAGGAAAGGAAATGATGTCTGTAAATAAAACAATGTGTTGAATAAGGTGTATTGTACCTCCATAATGCACAGGCAGGTAAATGTCCAGGCACTTGCCTCAGCTCTGTAGGTGATCTTATCTGGCTGCATTTATGTTCTCTGTGCATTTATTTTCCTGAGACTTCCTCAGGAAAATATTTCCTGCAGAAGAGATTCCAAACTGACTCAGTCTGACTTTCCCCTGTGACTGCAAGGCTCAGAATGCTTTGCACTCCATTCTGCCAATTCCCCTGGTGGGGCACAGCAAAGAGGTGCCAGGAATGCAAAGTGTGGTGTGCTGTCCCTTGGTGTGTGCTGTCCCTTGGCGTGCCCTGGATGATGAGCAGCAGCAGTGACAAGGGCACATTTCACCCCTTCATCCCCACACAAACCCCAGCAGCTGCAGCAGGGCACTGAGGCTGAGCCTCAGCCCTCCCCTCCCTGCCAGGCTCCTGTCCTGAAGCACTGGCATCTGAAATATATTGGAAGGTTCTTTCCTTCCTAGATTTTTGCTCAGCCAAAATGAGAAATCAGCATTTTCAGAAGTGATCTCCTTTTAAAATACTCCACAAATGAGAAATCAGCATTTTCAGAAGTGCTCTCCTTTTCAAATACTCCAAAAATGAGAAATCAGCATTCTCAAAAGTTCCCTCCTTCCCAAACACTCCACCTGGATGATGAGCAGCAGCAGTGACAAGGGCACATTTCACCCCTTCATCCCCACACAAACCCCAGCAGCTGCAGCAGGGCACTGAGGCTGAGCCTCAGCCCTCCCCTCCCTGCCAGGCTCCTGTCCTGAAGCACTGGCATCTGAAATATATTGGAAGGTTCTTTCCTTCCTAGATTTTTGCTCAGCCAAAATGAGAAATCAGCATTTTCAGAAGTGATCTCCTTTTAAAATACTCCACAAATGAGAAATCAGCATTTTCAGAAGTGCTCTCCTTCCCAAACACTCCCAAGAATATCTAAAAGAAATCATGCATTGTGTTTCTCACTGCAGTGTGAGTTCCCCTTCCTCCTTTCCTCCAGCCTTAGGCATCCAACCACCCAAAACAGAACCAGAACAGCATCTCAGAAATGACTCTGTTTATGGAGGAAAACAAAACACTATTTTATTTCTACAACATTTTTTCTCCTCAGCCAGTCAGGAAATATTCTTAACACATTCTTTAATACAGACTGTTGTCAAATAATTTGCCTCCAATATGCTGATTATTTTTCTCTATCATCATTATCATCATCATCATTGGCAATGATTATCTTTAATTAACTTCCTCCTTTTGTCAAAGCAGTTAATGATGGTCTCACAAATACAGGAAACCAAACTCCCAACTACTGCAAATGTTCTTCTAAGCATATTTTTGCTTACTTACATGTAGTAAATCTTTTTTTGGCTTAGAGCTAAACTGAACAAGTTGTGAAGGACTCGAAGTCCTGAAGGAGCAGGAGCTAAACAAGGATTTTGGTATTATTTTTGTCAGGCAGGAATAGCTCCATGTGTGGGTACTCTCCAAGAGAGCCTTGTCCAAAGTGACATCAGAGCTGGTGGCAGCAGGGAGTAGAGCAGAAAAGCAGAACAGGAGAGCAGAACAGAGAATTGGAATTATGGGTGTGTAATTGATTAGAAGTGTGCAATATCACAGGGTGGAAAACTTAGAGTTTGGGGTTTTAGAATATAGAAATAAATATGAAGAAAGATGGAGGTTTTAGGGTGGAGACTGGTTGTTCTTCTTTACCTTCTTCATGGGTTTGGGTGGTATTTTGGAACTGGACAGGAAAGTCCACATTGCAGGCTTTGAGTGATCAGTTACTGGGTTAAAAGGGAAAATAATCTAGGTCTCATTTCTTAATTGGATAGTTTAGCCTTAAAAGACCTTGTAACAATAGATAGTTGGCCATTTTGTGCCTTCCTAATGAAGGGCTGCAGAACTCAGGGTTGTGAGGCTGTTTCATTGATAAGAAACAATAAACACCTGAGTCTGAACATGAACTATCATCTCAAGTGCCTTCAATGCAGACCCAGAGAAACCAAAAACCCCCAGCCCCTCCCCAGCAGAAAAGGCCTCAGCTCTGTGCCTGCCCTGCCCAGCAGTGACAAAATCATCTCTGTAAGATCCTCACCGTGCCCAGCACAAACCCAAAACACAGCCCCAAGCAGACACTGGGATAAAGTTAACCCCACTGAGCCCAAAGCAGTGCTGTGTTCTGAGGAGGAATCAGAGCCATCAGGAGCTCATTGTTATCTCCTACTCAGCCTGAACCCACTGCTGCTGCTTTCTGAACTCCAGCACCTTTCCTGAAACACTGGCATTCAGCACTGCAGTGCAGGCAGGCACAGCTAAAGCAGCTCCTGAAACTGCTTCAGTCACTTCCAGCTTCAGGGGCTCACACCTGGGCCAGGGCTTCTGCTCAGCACCCAAAGCTGTACAGGTGCAGCTCCAGCTTCTCTGTGGACAATGGCTCAAACCCCACACACTGCCCAAGAACTCTGGTGTTGACATGATCAAAATTCTGAATTTTGACATGATCAGAATTCTATTTTGACATGAATTCTGGTTTTGACATGATCAATATTCTGAATTTTGACATGATCAGAATTCTGTTTTGACACGAACCTTGCTTCTCAAACAGTTGTTTGGTTTTCTGTTTTCTTTCCCAATCAACTTTCAGCTGCCCCAGAATTCTGCAATGTCACAGAGCGAGCACAACAGTCTGAATGCTGTGGTGTCATCTCCTGCAAGAAGCCAAAATAAATGGATTCTTATTCTCCACCAGAGACTGCCAAGTCATTCTGGTGGCCTGTCTTTTTCAGTGGTGAGAATTCAGTGGATTCACACAGCAGCAGAGTTCAGGGATGGCTCTCCAGGCAAGAAGAACAAGCCTACAGCTCCATCTGGTGAGGCAGCCAGCCAGCAACACCAGCATACAGGAACTACAATTAAAAGACACAACCAACACTTCGTTATTTCCAGGATTTATTTGCAGAAGAAATCAACAGGACACTAATTCTCACCAGCAAATCCTTAAAAGACACCTCTCAGGCTTGTTCTATTTCTAGTTTTACTCTTTGGTGAAGCCCAGAAAGTAATTTTAGAAGAAACTTCTGTGCTAAACTAAGACAGATTTCACTATAGTCTCTCTGTGCTAAAAACATCATAGTAAACTAGCAGAACTAATATAAAAAATAAAATGAGGTAAAAAGTTCTGCTTCCGGCATCAGAAATTTCATTAGTTCTGGACAACAGAAAGCAGCTCAAGGAAAGTCTCTAAATTATTAAAATAAACATTGCTAATATTCTTTCTGCTGTTCTTTGCTGAGGAGGAGGAAGATGTATTTGACACAAATTTGTTTTTGAACTGAGAAACATGCATTATTATTATTATACACAGTGCCTTTCATCTCCAAGGCCTTTTATGAAGATGAGTTCTCACATCACCAACCACAATTACTGTAGAAGAAAAGGGTGTGCAATTTTAATACAGCCTTGGCACCCAAAAATGGAATTACAATACAATCTTTTGTGGCTGCTAGTTCTGCATTCAGATGCCATTAATTCTGAAATAACTCCATGGAATGTTCCCCTTGCAGCAGTGCACCACTCTCTCATGGGGTGCTCCTGGCAGTACCTGAGGTGCAGAGGTACAACACCAATCCACACTGCAGCCTCACTGCAGGGCCAAAGGGTGAAGGAAGAACTACAAAATGTTATTTTTGCTTTCAATCTTAATTTTCAGTTACAGATTTCTTTCCTAAGAAAGATTCAATTCAGTGTGAGTAGGTGAATTTAGTTTTATATCCATCATCATTTTGTCCATCTGCACTTTCATCTTTGCTCCTTGTAAAATGTGAGTAGCTTCTCACCTTCTCTCTTTGCCCCTTTTCTAACTTCACTAACTCTTAAGTACAAAACACCCTAAGCTGTTGCATTTTCTTTCTTTGGGCTGGACTTGGCATGGCAGAGATCTTTGTTCCATGATAAATACATATTTTATAGAGACCCCATCCCTTCTCCACAGCACTGCACACAAAAATCACCACACTGCTATTCAGGATGAACATATTGATGTCAATCCTGATTGCACAATTTTAGCTATGGCCAGGAAGTATAAACTCCAAAAGCAGAGTGTTGCAGTTTGCAACAAACAGTTCTTTTCAAATGTACCTTCCTAAATTAGCACACCTGTGAGGAAGATCTCACAGCAAAGGGCAGGTGCTCAGCAATTTCAGAGGAATAAAAACCTCTGTTTATTCCAATACATTTTCTATTTCATATTACAAGGAAAGGAAGCTCTTATTCCCATGTTTTATGTAATCTTTCCTTCCACAGTCAGGAAGAGAAATTTAGAAGTATACAGCATATCACTGTGGGTTAGAGGCATACAAGACCTTCCTGGCCAGCTAAAATGGGCAGAGGAATTTGCAACACGACTGTACTTGGAGAGCAGGGCTGAGAGGAAGGGAATGATCCATTAATGGAGCAGTGATCTGACATTTTAACTATTTTTAGCCTGCTCTAAAAGCAGAAATGGTTTCATTGCTGAGCTGCCTATCAGTAATTTTAAATATGATACACTGTCTCACTTTTAATACCAATTTATAATGTTGTCTTACTTATGCCTCTCTATCCTCGTATTACAAAACATTTGCTAAATTAGTTTTGTTACACTGAGACAAATGGGCCAGAAGAAATCAATAGGATTTCAGTGTCCCATGAAATAAAAGATTATTTTAAGAACACATTCCTCTGTCTTGATTTTCAGTATTTCTTGATACTGACAACTACAGAAACATCACCATAAGGTAAAGAGACTCAATTTTAATGAACCATTCTGGTTTATTAAAGGTCAACAAAGGTCTAATGCCTAATGGTTTCTCAGCTCTTTAATGGACTGGAATTTTGACTTCCAAGTAACAGGTGAAAGATAAAGTGCATCCAATGTGAATTTCCCTTTTTCTTCCTTTTAGTGCAAATAGGTGTTAAGAATACATGGTGTGAGACAAGAAAAAAAAAATCTGTTTATAGTAAAAATTTTAAAAGGGTAATTTATAAATAGACTGCAGTATGAAAACACAGCATTGTAGAAAATACAAGGCCAGTATTCCTATTTCTAAAGCCACTACTCCTATTTCACACAACATGAAATTAGTAACTAGGAATTTTGAAGAAGCAATTAATCTACTCCCGATTAAATGGATCAATGGCAGAGAACAAAGGTGTGCAATTAGCTAGTGGAATTGACCACTGCTCATTATTACTGAACCATCCTGGTTCAAAGCAAGCCCTGAATACTGACTGGAGCTGTGACAGGGAACACCGTGCAGAGGGCTCCTCCACTGTCACTTGAAGGACACAACAGAGGAAAGGCTCCTTGATGTGGCAGCTCCATCCTGTGGAAGGAAAACCAGGAAGACTGGAGCTCAAGCAGAATAATTTCCTCTGGAATTTAACTTCAAGAGCTTTATCTTGCTGTACAGAGCCTCCACTGGCACTCCCACACCTCAAACCACACAACCCCCAACCCAGCAGTGGGACAATGCAGGCATGGCCTTGGTGATTCCTGATTGCTGAACTGAGGAGACAAAATTACACCTGGGATCACACGTGCTACTAATGAAGTGTTTCTGTTTAAAGCAATGCCAAGATTTTTTCATCCTAGAACTACATTAAAGCACAGGTGAGAACACAACAGTCACCCTGGTTTCTGATGGTGTAACCAACAATTCCAGTTTGCAGTGGGAGATCATTTCCATGAATACAGAGCTGTACCTCACAGGTACACATTTACACACTAAGTCAGGCACAGTGCAAACAAAGCCCCCTCTCCCAACACTCATCTGTAGTAAACAGAACCAAGTCATCATTTATTTGAATAGAATGTAAATATTTCCTATACAGTGTGGTACATTACAATGCTCATTTTTATTTCATGATACCATGCAAGCAATCCAAGAAGTCAAGAGTGTTCTTCTGCAAACTGCTTTTTAAGTTGGAAGGAATCTGCATGTGTGGTCATTCCATTCTGTTACTGAACAGTGACAGTAAAGAAGAGATAAAGACACTGTAATTCCATACAAGCTTTGAAAGGCATTATATTAGGATACTTAAATGATACATCCACCACAAGCACTTCTAAATACTAATATTATTTCTTCCTTGTTCAAGTTCTTCCCTCAGCATTTGCTCTTGACATTTTTTTCCTAGTATGACTTCAAAATAAAAAGAGCATTTAATAACAGACTATTTAATGTCCATTGTAACAGAAGAGATAAAAAACTATTCTTGGAAACACAGTGTGCATCAAGCATGGGTTCAGCATGGCTTTACTCTCACACTGTGTATTGCATAAATCCACACAAAACACTGCATACACTTTATTTTCCAAGTGAATGCATCTGTGCATTTGTACATATGCATTCCCATTCCTTGAAGCTCCTACATTCAAACTTTAGGCACCTGTGTGCATGAAAAAGAAACTTTAGAAATTATAGTGCTCCTATTAAGAGTGAGTGAGGGGATGTGCTGCGGCTTTTGGGAGCTGGTGCTCTGGTTGATGGTATAGGGATAAAATGTTTCTAAAATCATGGGATATTCAGGGGAGTTGGAAAGAAAGGTTGGGACTGGTAGGCCCTGGGAAAATGTTAGGCTTTACTGGATCATGCAAAACTGCACCTGTATAATCATTTAATGACTATGGCAAATGATATGATTGTTATATGATAAGTGATATGATTGTTAAATGTGCTGATTGTTTGGTAATTGGATATCATTATTGTTTAATTGTAACAAGAATAATGAGAAATTATGTTTGGGGGGTTTGATGGAAATTACAAAAATCCATGCTTGGATGAAATCAATGTATTAGATTTTCGGATTGGGAATGGCACTGGGGACACTGGGAGTGTGGCACTGGGGACATTGGGACAGCCCCAGTCCAGTGTCCCCAAGGGCTCCTCCTCAGCACCAAACAGTTCCAGCTCCATGCAGGCCACAGGGGACCCCTCCACCAGCTCCAGTTTGCACTGGGAACAGGGAATGGGGACACTGGGAGTGGCACTGGGACAGTCCCAGTGCAGTGTCCCCAAGGGCTCGTCAAATTACAAAAATCCATGCTTGAATGAAATCAATGTATACAACAGAACAATGTAAGTTTAATAATTAATAGGTAGTTATATAACAATAAGGGTATAAAAACGTGTTCATCCTGAACCCATGCTGGAGTCAGATTTGGGTCTGGACCCCTGACACCCAAAGCTCCTCAACAAAAGCACTTCATACAATCTTTCAGTGATTATGTGTTCCTGCACACTGCTAACATGGTGAGACTAAAGCCAAAGCTTAAACAAATCACATTCAATGTCAATGCAAACCACGTATGCTATGGAGTCTGCAGGGCTCTGAAATGTGTGAGACAGCTGGAGTCATCCCTCTACAAACACCCCTTTTTGGCAACAGCTCCAAACAGCGACACATTCTGTCCCATCTCAAAAGCATCACAGAGTTCCAGACAGACACTTCCACCAGCCGAGCAGGAATTCCAGCCCGCCGCTTGAAATCTGCGTCTCCAAAGCGCCTAACCCATCCTTCTCCAGCCCTGCCAAACTGCAACCAAAACCTCTGCGGCGCCGTGCCTAGGCTTTGACCTTGCCCTCCTTCAGCAGGCGCTCGTTGAGCTGGCACAGCTGCCTGAGGAAGCCGTCGTTGGGGCCGATCTCGCGCTGCTGGCGCACGGCGCAGAGCGCGCCGCGCACGTCCATGCCGCGCCGCAGCATCAGGTACGCGATGACCAGCGTGGGCGAGCGGCTGTAGCCCTCCCGGCAGTGCACCAGCACCTGGCCTGCAGGGAGACAGTCACAGCTCAGCGTTATGCTGCAATGGCTGGCTGCAAAGCAACAGGAAATAAGAGGGTTTTTTGCTGCTTGCCCCGTGGATGTGGCTGGCGAGATTTTAGGGATGTGCTGCCTCAAGCTTTCTTCACGCTTATGTGGAAAATGCATATTAGATGCTTGGCTTTTTATTGTAAATCAGGCCACCCCAGCTCTGGGAATGACTGGCATCTAATTCCAAGGCTTTGGAATGCTGAATGCTTGCTTTATTAAAACTATATTATATTACATTATACTATAATACAAAGAATCCTAAAGAAAACTCGTGACTGACTTCCATCTCGTGACTGACTCCCAACTCGTGACTGACTCCCAGGACACAGCTTGGACCTGATAGGCTAATTAACATAAACAATTATTGCATTTGCAGGGAGTGCCCCAGTGAAGGAAGGAATGATGAATCTGACTCCCTGTTCTCAGAAGGCTAATTTATTATTTTATGACACTATATTATATTTAAAAATACTATACTATACTAAAGAATACAGAAAGGATACTTACAAAAGACTAAAAAGATAATAATGAAAACTCATGACTCTTTTCAGAGTCCTGACACTGCTTGGCCCTGATTAGTCAATGAGTCAAAACAACTCACACCAGAGTCCAATGAAACAATGACCTGTGGGTAAACAATGTCCAAACACATTCCAAAGGAGCACAACACAGGAGAAGCAGATGAGATAAGAATTGTTTTCCTTTTCTCTGAGGCTTCTCAGCTTCCCAGGACAAAAATCCTGGGTGAAGGGATTTTTTCAGAGAATGTGAATGCCACAAACAACTGGGGAAACAAGATGGGTTGCATCTTTTGTTCAAGAAATTTTTTTTTTGATTGTAATAATTGTTTTTATCATTTTACTCATGTTTCCCTGTTAAGTGTCTGCAGAAGTCCGTTGGGGAAGTCTTCATAGTAAGAAAAACAGGGGAGTTGTGGAATCCTCAGAAGCCTTCCCCCTCAGGGAAATCCCCAGAGCATTGCCTTGGAGAGACTTTATGACCACAGAGCTTCTCCCCAGCTGGGTGGACAAAAAAAACTTCCCAATGGACTCTTGCTTAACACTGATCCATCCCAGTTCCTTTCCCCTTAAGTCCCAACTTCTCCTGGTTCCTCCATTCCCTGTTCCCTCATTGCTTGTGGTGGCCCTGGTGGCCAGCCCCATCCTCCCTGAATGCCAACACCCTTTGCCCTGCCCTTGGTGCCACCTCAGAGCCCTCCCCTACTTAACCCTGTGCAGAGCACAAGGTCTTTTGTCTCTGGCTCCCCTTCAGCCTGCTGAAATAAACCTCACTGGAATTGATCATACAAAAGGCCCTTCTGCCTCCCTTGGCTGAGCTAGCCATGGTGAGTGTGGTGTGGACTGGACTGCTTTGCCTGGATGCTCACCAAGTGGCTTTTCCACAGGAGATGCTTGTTGGGAAATGAGACAGAGGTAGCAGTAACCACACCTAAAGCCCATGCTGTTACAGGAAATAGCTAGGATGTTGTGTATTGATAAGTGTATTGATAACAGTGCTGTCACAGCTTGAGAACTGAAATGCTACAGGAGACATGCTGGAGTTGGGAGAAAGGTGCTCACACTGGTGGTAGTTACACAGTGTGTGAGCAAAGGTAATGCAAAAGAAAAAAAAATAGGTTGCATGTCAAACAATCTCACTGATCAGATTTGCTACTATACCACAAGAATCAAACTATATTTATTCACTGCACTTTTCCAGTCTTTGCTGGGTTTGACAAGCTTTGCCCCTAAAGATGACCAGTACCAAAGAGCATAAGTAGATGAAGTTTAAAACACACTGAAAACAAATATGCTGTTTGGCATGCACTGCATCTCTTCAAAGACACCCAGCCTTTCTGTGCACTGCTACACTAACTCCATGCTGCAGCACACCTGGCCACTTCTCTGGCTGTTATGAAGCCACCTCAACACTCAAGCAGATGAAGCTGCCTGCTCTGCAGAGACAAGAGGCAGAAATATCTAACCATGCTGTTTGTCAGCATCAATGAAATGCTTCCAGCTGATTAATTAGGGAACTCACTCTACACATTAGGTGGGTTCAATTCCGTTTGCATGGCAGCATTTTGGTGGTGGGGAGGGCCACAGGGGTGGCTTCTGTGAGAAGATGCCAGAGCTTCCCCCCATGTCCAAAGGAGCCAGAGCCAGCTGGATCCAGTGATAGTGGTAGCACCTCTGGGGTAATATATTTAAGAAGGGGAAAAAAAAACCCAACGAACTGCTGCACAACAGCAGGTGAATGAGAGGAGTGAGAACGTGTGAAAAAAAACCTCTGCAGACACCCAGATCAGTGAAGACAGAAGAGAAGAAATTCCAGGCACTGGAGAGAAGAGCCTGTGGGGAGGACCATGGTGACCATGCTGTCCCCCTGCAATCCATGCAGGTCCAGAGCAGTGCAGACACCCCCCTGCAGCCTGTGGGGGGACCCCTGCCAGTGCCAGAGCCAGGGGAAATGCCCAGAGGAGGCCATGACCCCATGGGAAGGTGGCACTGCAGCAGGACCTGTGGCTCCATGGATAGAGAAGCACATGGTGGAACAGGATTTCAGGCAGCATTTGTGAACCTGTGGAAGCCCTGCACTAAAGCAAACTGCTCCTGGAGGACTGTGCCCCATGGAAGAAGGGATCCAGCTTCTAGGGAGGCCTCACATGGGAGAAGTTCTTGGATGACTCCTGTGGGTGCTACTGGAGCAGGGGAAGAGAATGAAGAGGAAGGTGTGTGTTCATCAAAAACGTGTGATGAACTGACTGCAATCCCCACTCCGTGTGCCCTTGTGCTGCTTGGCATGAGGAGGCAGAGAAAACAGGGAATGAAGCTGAATGTGGAAAGAAAGAAGGGTAGAGGAAAGGTCTTCTAAGGCTTGGTTTTGTTACTCACTCCCCTACTCTGATTTGATTGGCATTAAGTGAAATTAACTTCCTGAAGTCGAGTCTCTTTTGCCTGTGATGGTAATTGCTGGGTGATCTCCCTGCCCTTATCTTGACCCATGAGACTTTTGTTTTATTTTTCTCCCCTGTCCAGCTGAGGCAGGGGTGTGCTGGCATGGTTTGGTGGGCACGTGGTGTCCAGCCAAGGTTAACCCACCATGAGGCCAAATCCTACAGTGAGGTATCAAAAAATAAAAGAGCAGGCCACTGCTCTCTTAGAGACATCTAACCTGATTTTATTGTTTCTCAGCTTCTTCCTCTTTGACCTGCTTTTCCAGACACAGAAATGTTCTCCTTCCCAAATGCAGTGGGACCATGTGGCCCTAGTCTACTCTCCAGAATGAACTGGTTTTTTGAGACAAGGAAACAGCTGAATCATACACACACACTCCTATCATAACCATAACTTGCTTTGAACCACACCAACAGAAATCTTGTTACCACACTTGCCTTAAACAGCAAAAGCTTCTCAGCTCAAGGCAAATCACGGTAAAAGAGCTAAAACAATTCTCAACATTTCTTGAGAGCCTGTAGTCATAAATTAGCAAAATTTAGAGATTCTTCATTATAGACATGGAAGAGAATTGATTTTTCAGCAAGTGGTCAGCAGCAAAAAGGTTTCTAGCCTTTTTCTGTGGAAGGCAGTGGCTGAAGGGCAGGATACCAGACCTGCCTTCCAAAACTTCAGGCACTGCACACTGGAATGAAATGGAAGGAGAACACTATTATATTCCTCTTCTCTTCACTATCCTCACTCTACACTTCTATGTCAAACTAACAATTTGCAGTAGCCAGTTAATCTTAAAACTGACTCCAACATCACCCAGCTCCAAGGTTCCTCTTTGTTTACCACGTTAAAAAAACAGTAGTGGGTGTGGTAAACAACTGCTAAGACTGAAAGAATCAGCAAATGAACTGCTGCAAATCCAGACTGACTGAATTTACTGACCCTGAGACTAAACTGAGCAGGTACAGTCATGGCACAGCAAACCCTTCTCTCCTCTCTGTTTCAGTGAGTCACAGTGCTAACTGCAAGAGCTGTATTTAATTTTCAGAATTTTTCATACTCCACCAAACTGGATGTAGAATTTATTTCCATCTGTCAAAACCCACATCACAGCTCCAGAACCCCTTTGCCCATTTCAGAGAAAGAACTTCTAGAATTGTGGGAGTTCTCATTCCTCCTATTCAATGCTCAGTCACGAAGCAAGAAGGAAATTAAGCATGTGCAGAAATAACTGGAATGTTGAAATAGCTAGACAACACAAACACCATCTGTCCCACTGCACTGTGTCCTAGGATTTCTGCTCTGAGGAAACACACTACAGAGAAATGTGGCAATAAACATTGCAAATATAACCTTCAAGTTTCCTGCAATCCTAAGAAATAGAGGCAATCAACACATAAAATAATGTAATGACTTAATGTAATAAAATTTAAGGTGACAGTCTGTATTCTTACTGTACATTTGGGAAAAAACCCCCATGTAACAGGTTATGTGACTACTCTTCAGTACTTGTATTACTTATACCACTTCTGCCTTTAAATTGTAATTTCTAATGTCCTTAAACAACTTTTAGAAGCTTAACTCATTTTTGTAAGAATATTTTGGTAGAAAAGAAAAAAAGTAAAAACATCTAAGGAAAAGTATTCTAATGTCCTTAAACAACTTTTAGAAGCTTAACTTATTTTTTAAGAATATTTTGGTAGAAAAGAAAAAAGCTAAAAACATCTAAGGAAAAGTAAAACATCTCTTCCCAGAAAGAAACTATAATAAGATGCAGCAGCTGTTCCCCATTTCAAAGTCACCCCTACAGACTTCCCCCTGCCATGTACTGGAGAGCTGCATGTATGAACACAAGACTAAGCTGTGCCTTCTTGTGCCTGATTCAGGGCTTTTATTAGAATTTTTCATTTAGTTGTTCTGTGGATAATAAGAGCAAAGAAGCATTTCAAACAGCAAATGACTAAGAAACATATGCAGTGCACAGAAAACATGGAAGAAAGGTATTTCAGTTTGCCTTACCATCCTTCTGGGAAAGGGCTTTGTCAATAAAATCAGCTGCCTCCTCAAAGTAGCGACTGAGGTTAAATTCCTGTGTGTCATTAGCTTTAATGCCATGGTATCTGATGCCTGAGCCTTCATAGAACTCTGCATTAGTGTTCACATGCATGAATGATTTCCCCTCTGCTGCATTCAGAACATGGGTTATCCCCAGACGCTGCAGCCTCATTATGTTCTTGGCTATGAACCTGCGTGACAAAAAGTGTCAAGAAAATGATTAGAATTTGGTCAATCATCTCAGTACTTAGGTATTGATAACCAAACCCTTGGATTTTTCTGTTAACAGATGCCAAATATACTGTGCCCAAAAGTGAATTAGCTACAGGTTATTCACAGAAACATTCAGAGCCATGGTCCCTACTTGTGCATGAGAGAATGCTGCTTTCTTGGCTGACACTGAGGAATGCACACATGAAAGTGAATCTGCATCTGTTAGATCCTATTATGGCACAAAATTCTAACTTTCTGAACGTAAAATTCTGACTAAAGTAGGAAAATACTGGAGATGACAACACATTTACTTCTAAGGTTATCAGTTATCCACATAAAATAACTTACAAACCAGTTATAAAAAACCTCTACTGTCAGGAACCAGTGTTGCAGAACTTCATAAGCAGTACTTGCTATTTTAGCAGGCAGCCCAGACAAACTGACATTTTAGGGGTCAGTTTTAAACACTGTGAAACAGCACTGACTTCTTACCAGGCCACAGGAAGAAAGTAACTGAGTAAATGCTACTTAAATCTTCAAAAGACTCATCTGAGGGCTACTAAGAGGCGTAGTTCTGTGCCCTGTGCTATTCAACACCTCTGAAGTCATGGAAAGATCTGTCAAGGCTATGCAGAGGCCATCAAAACAGAGATATCATTCAGTCTTTTCATCACAAGTGCTACAATTTTTGGTGTCTTAGCTGAAATCAGTATCTGGATGTGAAAGACTCCACATGAGTGATGTTTAAGATGCTAAAGTGCTTAAGAAAGCATTCAGTGCTTTTAGGTACCAATGGATATTCTCTTACTTCCTAGTTGTTATTTGACAGAAATATCCTGTTGGAAGTGCTAAAACTTTCTAGAGCACAGAAATTCCTAGACTGCACAAAATGGGGGCTCAGCCTCTTCTCATTTCTGGAAAGAATGCTTGTAAGTGCCCACAGGGCAGGACTGGAAATGGAACACGTGAGGTTTGCTCGGTAATCTGCTGCTGAACACAACTCAGAAATGAGTATGATGGCATTAAGTACAATTAGTATGCAGCGAATGCATTTTCAGTGAAAGCTAAGTCCTTTCCAACTTCTCAGTTTTCCCAAAAATTGTAGCAAAACCATGAGCTTTAGATGGCTAAAAGTGACCTAGCCTATTAGTGAACAATTGAGCTGGATGATAATAATCATGCCTTTCAGGCTGGATGATGACAATTAATTAGATCCACTAATAATGCCATAAGCTTTAATAAAAGCTCCAGGATGTAAAATGGCAAACAACCCTGCTCAGTAACACAAGTGACCATGCACCAACCTCTGCTTGTGCCCTGGACTGCAATCCACAGTGAGAGGAGCTAACCATAAAAGTAAAATATCAGGAGAGCATTAACTCCTTTTTGCCATAATCCCACTGCTTTTCATTCTGAGTCTGATTATTTCCATATGTCAGTTGCAATATTTGCCTCACTTTCCAGGGAAGAAAAAAAAAACCCACATGATTTATCACTCTATATGGTCTCCTAGTAAAATCTAAGCCCCACTGGTCAACATCAGCAGAATGTGACAGAAAGCTTGAGCTGAAGGATAACTCAGTTCCTGCACACTGTGTGAAAACAGGTGGCCTAGACAGACTGGTTTTAAAAGCAGCTTTCAGTATGTGTTTAACTGGATATGGAAACAGAAATATTTTTAAAAACTCCCCAGAGCTCAACTCATAAATTGCAAATACAAGGAGTCTTAATATTAAGCTGAGCTCCAGATAAGCATTTGTGCAGTATCATTTTGGACAAGTTCTGGCTTTTAGCTGGACACTTAGGTAATCTAAAAACTTAAAATAAACACCCAAATTAGTCAGTTTACATCTATATGAATCTCTGAGTCCATTCACTCACAATTTTAATGTAATTCAAGGCCATGAACATCTTGAGAATTCCTTTCTTCCTGACGACTGCACACCCCTTAAATTCTAGTGAAAGCAGATGAAGATTTATGCATGACTGAAGCTTCTACATTTTCTGCTGTCTGTGCCAAGCAACTATGGCAATGAACCAAATATTTGTAAGACTTCATTACCCAAACAAATGCTGACAGATTTTCCATCTGGCAGGACATCATCTGTGCCAGGGGAGAAGTTTCAGTGTCTGGAGAACTCTGCTTTCAACACAAAAATCCTACAGAGCAAGGCCAAACCAGAAAGTGTTAATTCAGTGCTGAGTTCCTATGCTTAGTAGGGTGAGCATATGGTTTAATTAACATTATATAGATGATATAATATTATATAGATTACATATATGTGACTGTTCAGCATCAATAGGAACTCCCATCCTGAAATCATGGTTGAATGTGGCAACAGACTGGACTCCCTGGAGGCAAACTCATTCCCAGTGAATGATTTTTTGCAGATTTTACAAGTGATTTTCTTACACAGCTAGAGGTGAAAAAGAGAGAATTTGTATGCCATTTGTTTCTCCCTTTGCAAACAGTCCTTGGATCTCTCTCATCCTTAACATTTCATTCCAGCTGCATCATGTTGGGTGGTGAAATGCTAGCTCCTCCAAAGAGCAGAGAGATGCTAACATCAGCTTCATCTGGTTCCTGAAAAAAAACCACAGAGTCTTGTCCATCCTCAATATGGAAGACTTAGAATTCCTCATCCTGTGAGAAACACCAGTAAGAAGTGTTTCTTTTGAACAGGGATGAATTATTTTACCAGCCACAAAACAGGTTTTGGAGTACCATTCATCAGCAATTTAGGATACATGAGGCTGTGAAGTATTGGCATATGGAATTACAAGCAAATAAACCAAATTCTTAATGGCAAAAAATGCCAGGCTATTAACACATTGTAATTTGCACTGTCCTGTCCATGCAAATTTGTTTGCTTACCAACACGTCCCTTAGAGTAACTGAATTTAATATTAATTTTGGGAGAATGCCCTCCATACCCCTTCCAACACACCTGCACTTTTAGCACATTAAAAACAAAGAACTGCTTAATGCATTACTCACATACATTAAGGCAGACACAAAAAGTAAGACTGGGCAATCAAACCCAGAACATTTTTATCAAATACAGTTCTGGAGACAAGGCCATAAATGTTACAGGTTTCCAGGCATCTGGAAAAAAACCCACAAACAAATTCCCTTAGTCAGAGGTCAGAAATCTAAGCCTGCTCATTTTCAGGTAGAACACTGCTTTTCACAAGAATGGCTGCTCTGGATAAAAAGCCTCCCACCCTGCAGTGTGCTGACTGCTCCCTCTTGTCCCCATTTTTATGCAATCCTGATAAAAATGAATTCTGTCCAACCCTTCTGGTCAGATCAAGATGTTACACTGAAACACATCTCCACTTGTACAACACAAAATTATATGCACTTGCAGTGCATCACAAATTGTTACTTTGTTATTGTTTGAAAAAGATATCGTTGTGCTTGTCTCTCACCTATATAATTCTTGTTTTGCCTAATCTTCTTGAGAGGTCAGAATGGCCAATGGTAATATGGAAACCCACAATTTAAAAACTGTTTTATAATTTTATCTCTGTATTTTCATTCATTTTGACTTTCATGTATTGCCTGGGAGATCAATTACTTTGGCTCTGCCTGCAACTTGAAGTCACTTAACAAACTGTTATTTTAAACTATGACCCAATTTAACCTCATCAGCCTCAATGTCTCTTTGCTGTCATTTTTTATCTAAAGATGAGTTTCTCTTAAGGAGAGACAGCAGCACTGCTGTGCAAAATATTCCCAAAGGTAACCAACAGAAGTTTCTGAATCTCACTCAGAGATTTGAATTTTTTCCTGTGAGTTCCTGCTCAAATTCTATTGCATTCATAACATGTGTTGGCATTCCAATCCCCCTACTCTGGCTGCTCTGTAAATTTTTATTATAAAATCTCTGTTGTTTATTATCCAAAACGTGACCCTATATTGCACACAACAAGAGGAAAAAAGCTGGACATGAAGCTCAAAATGATATTGGCGATTCATATTCTTTCAGAATGACTAATATATTACTAAAATGCTGCTTACAGTGCAGAATATACCACAGCTCCACTTGATGCAAAAAAGCCTCTTAAAAATTAATATTTTTTCCAGTTAGAGAATATCAACTTCACCATGAAGTGACCAAAGTTTAATGGAAATCCATCTATTCAACTAGACCTCAGCACTACCTTAACTCTCTGTGGATGCTTCAAAGATATTACTGTCTCTTAAGTCTTGACAAATTAAGTAGATGATCTGTTCCAATTGTGAAATAGTTTTTTCAGCCACAAAGTTATTTCTTACTTTTAGCTGCCCTCTACAATTTTTCAGCATTCTTTTAAAAACACTGACAATACAACTGCACGTTTTCAGTTTATCCAACTAGCAGCTGAACTGCTCCTGTGCTAAAAATTGCACTGGTGCTTCAGATATTTCTGAAAAAACAAAAAAACCATAAAAAGTCTTTCTCTACAGTTAAGATTTCCACCAGACAGAGATTTTTCACTGTGCAACTTATACGTTTATTATGTGTTCCTGGACACTCTTGCAGGTGAACATATTAAAGTCTTTACCCTATAATTAAAACAAATTACTGACAATGAAAATGGCTCTGTAGTAGCTAACTACCTTCGAAGTTATTTAAAAATTATGTAATGCACAAATCAGCTTGCAACCTATGACTTCCTTTTTTCCAGGAAAAAAACTAATACTATTTTGTAACTACTGCAAGTATGAGGGAGATGGTGGCTGTCAGACACCAGGCTGGCTGCTGAATGATTTCAGTCTCATCTCTAGATGTGCATGTCCTGGCAGGAACTCATTTCATTTGGTTTGGCTTAAAAGTAAGTTAGTGACAATCTATGATCTTGACTTGTACTTCTTTAGGAGGTACAAACCTAAAATAAGAGCAGGGATCCAGTATAGTACACATGTATTAAAAAAAAAAGAATAAAAAAATTCCCCAATTTCATAGGGAGGAAGTGCACAGAGATGGACCAGAAAGGGTAAGGAGAATCAGCAGGATAACTGAAATCGTGATGTGGTGTAAAAAGCAAACCCCGCTGAGATCCAGATCCCGTCCTGCGGCCTGACTGCCCCCGGCTCCAAGCACCGGGAGCTGCTCGGTGAGAGCCCCGCGCCTCACGGCCCGGCCCGGCCCCTCCACACACCGCACCCGGCCCTGCTCCTCCACACACCGCACCGGGCCCGGCTCCTCCACACACCGCACCCGGCCCGGCCCCTCCACACACCGCACCCGGCCCGGCTCCTCCACACACCGCACCCGGCCCGGCCCCTCCACACACCGCACCCGGCCCGGCCCGGCCNCCCGCCCGCCCGGGCCTGCTCCGCGCCCCCGCCCGGCCCCGCTCCGGCGCACTCACGCGTTCCCCACGTGGATGCGCGGCACCACCTCGTTGCTGTGCGCGCTGGGCAGGCTGTAGCAGCCGCTCCCGTTAGACAGGAGCTCGTTCAGCTCCTCCACCGAGATCTGGAAATCGCCCATGGCCGAGCCTCCGCCCGCCAGCAGCCCTTGGCGCTGCGGCTCCAGCCCTTCGCTCCCCA